ACAAATGGCAGGATTTCCTTCTTTCTCATGGCTGAATAATATTCCAGTGGATACATGTTCGATTTTTTTGTTTTATTTTTTATTTTTTAGCTGAGCCATCCTGCCGCCTGTTGGCAGTTCAGCGGCAGCCCAGCTCGGGCTGGGAATCAAACCGCTGTTGCTCACAGCTGGCACTCTCAAGCGAGCTCTTAACCAACTGAGCCACTCGGACAGCCCTCGATATCTTCTTTATCCATTCATCTGCCAAAGGACACTTAGGTTGTTTTTACATCTTAGCTATTATGAATAATGCTGCAATGAACATGGGAGTGCAAATATCTCTTCAATATCCTGTTTTTGTTTCTTTTGGATATCTACCCAGGAATGGGATTGCTGGATCATATGGTAGTTCTATTTTTAATTTTCTGAGGAGCTTTCATACTGTTTTCCAACATGTAGTAATTTGCATCCCCACCAACAGTGCACAAGCGTTCCCTTTCCTCCACATCCTCGCCAACACGTATTACCTATCTATTTGATGATAGAGGCTGGCTTTTCCATTGGGATTCCTGAATTGTACTTCATTAGTACAAATTCTAGCCCCCACCACATGAGTGTAGCTTGTTTTGTCCCAAGTCCAGCGCCCAGGACAGCTTCTCCAGGTAGTGGGCACTGCCTTTCATGTCCCCTGCTCCAGCCTAGGCAGCCTTTGTCAGAAGCTGGCTCTATGCAGCAGTCACGGTTCCAAGGCCTCACTTCTCATTAACTGTAGACCCCTTTCCCGACCCACACGTAGGCACATAAATCCCACTCTCAGCCTTTAGGATCCGTATCCAGGTCCAGGTCCAATATCATGGCGGGCCACAACACAACACCAGCTGAAGCTCACTGCTTTGGTGATACGACAGTGGTTTTGTTATGTTTTATCCAGAATTTCATGTGTTTGCAATGGGAGGGATATCTGTGTTAAAAGACAGGAACTCCATGGGTTAAGCTCTGTATGACGAGGATGGTGCTTACCAGCTGCTTCCTGGGGAACCGCCCTCCTGAGGGATAAGGGTCCAGGCTGCTCCTAATATACAGCCACCACTTGTATCATGGCAACAAGGCCACAGCACATGCAGCCTATGGGTTGCTGGTTGTAAAAAGCTCAGTTCAAACAGAGACAAAGCCAGTCACAAGCTTTGGCTCTCTGAAAACTGAACTGGAAAATACAGATGGTGCAAAATATGCACAAAGAGAGGCAAGGAGGCAGGAGGAACAATGGAGGCCACTGGGTGAGTTAAAGCTGCAAGCAAACACAAGCTTTAAGCAAGCAGAAGGCGTAGGCGGAGAAAAGATGTGCCAAGCAGTGGGTGCTGCAGGCAGCTAATTGGGGGAAGAAGTGAGGCTGTAACGATAAACACAGCAGAGCAAGGAGCTGAGTTTCTATCACGGGTGGCGTCCTCTGTTGAAGTTTCACAGTCTCTGGTTATGAAGATCCTGTGGCTGGTACGAATCCACCCTGACCTTCAAGCTGTCCGTTTCAGCTCTGTCCTTATTCATGGCTATGCCTGGGATTCCAACAAGCCCCTCATTCCCTGAGTTAGCTCATGGGAGCCTATTCTTGCAAACTGAGAAACCCAAAGAACACAAAAATTACTACCAGGGATAGAGGTTTAGAAATAATAAGTCACCAAGATTGTGGAGATTTTGAAATTTGTTCAGAGCTCATTGGCTGGAAAGCATTGAGAATGTTCTGCCTTCTCCAAATTTGTGTGTCCTTGGTTGTCCTACCACCTGGCCAAGATGAGGGGCTATGGGCAACAACTGCAACGCAACAATTTTAAGGGTGTAAAGAATGAAGCAGAGCAGAGTTGGGTGATTTTAATTTATAAAAGTAGGGAATTTAAGAAGTTAAGATCCAAAATGCCCTAATCAAAGCAGCTAAAAAAATCTGTTAGATGAAGCTCTTCTAATAGCTGACAGTGTCCACTGCCAAATAGTTGCATCGGAAGAAATCAGAACCTTGCTGCATCTTTTCTTGGTCAAGGCAAATCCCTGTTTGACAAGAATGAGAACATTTGTGGAAAGAGAAAGGCATTACTTTTTCCTGAGCTCTTTTTTTTTTTTTTTTACCAATTGAGATAATCTATTACAAACATGAAGCAAGCCCTAAAACTATTGCTTTCTTTGCTGGCTGAGCTATGAGGACCTGGAAGAAAAGACTCATAAAAATTTTTTTAAAGTCCCTGAGACTACAATAGGGATGTGAGACAATCCCACATGCTAGATGTTGAGTAATCAAAGCTTAGAGGATGTGCTCATATGGTTAAATGAAATCAGGGTCTCAATACAGGCACCACTGACATGTTGAGCTGGATAATTCTTTGTTGCAGGGAGCTGTTCTGCACATTGTAGGATGTTCAGCAGTATCCCTAGCCTTTGCCCACTAGATGCCAATAGCACCTTCAACTTGAGACAACCAAAAACATCTCCAGATACAGCCAAATGTCCCTGCCGAGGGGGTCCGACTGCCCCCAGGTGAGAACCATTAAACTCAAGCAACAAAACAGGTGTGGTAATCCAGGGACAGAAAATGTCTCATATATAAATTCATAAACATATTTCTTTATAATTATGCAGTTAATACATGAATGGAGTTTCCTTTTTCAGAAAATTAGAATGTTGCAGTTAAAACTAAAATTCCCCTTAATTCCCCCCTCCGTAGGGTAATCACTGTTTTCAATTTGATTATACTGTTTTCAATTTGATTATACATATATACATAATAGGGGTAATATATTGTTTGGACCAAAGAGCAATTAATAATATGATGTAATCTCACTCTGGCCTGCTCTTTAAATCCATGAGTGGAAATTTCCTTTTGCTTTCCTGAAAAGAGCTATTTTTCATTATTATTCCCATTGCCGTATACAGTGGGGGTGATGGTTCGATTCATGTTCTAGCATTGCAGAGTGTTACATTACATAGGAAGGCCACTACTTCCTAACACAGTAGCTGGAAACTGTTTCCTCCATCCATGCCGAGGGAGGAGTAAGCATATCTTCAGTTGTACATGTGATAGTTGGATCATGTTAGGCAGAAATAATATGGGAATGACACATATAGGAAAGAGGACATGTCACAGAAACATGAGTGTCACAGACAGCAATACGCAAGATGTGCCAATCATGATGTCTGCCATCACAAAAGCTCCTTCTGAGAGTAGATACCTTCCCTACGCCCCCTTCCAGAAGCAAAATTCATAGGCTGTTCCTTGGGTGGGAAAGATTGTGTCTTTCATTCTCTAATTTACCATTGACTGCACCTTAACCCAAGTGCCCTCATTTCAGTGCCTGGGATGGTGGCCACTAAGGCATCTTCAAAAGGGAAGCTCTGAGCAAAGGGAGGTGAACTGAGGTGACTTCTGGTAAGGAATTTAAACTAGAACAGATGGAGAGAATAAGGCAGTTAGCAGCACTTACCAAAGTGAAAAGAATACATAGAGGTAGGCCACGATGCCAAGCGAGCCATAAAAAAACCCGCTTTTACAGGAGCAAACTCTATGAGTTAAGCGTATGGCCAGCGGAAGAGGAAGTGCCTTACAGAGAAGAGAAAAGAGACATCAGTCACGGTAGGGACAGCAGCAGAGCACAAAAGTGCATAAAGACAAGAAGAGACCCAGAAAGGGGCACCAAGGCAGCTACCCCAGATCTTCTGCTGCTGTTTCCTACAATTATGGCTGCAGATCATGCTTCAAGAGGAGATAATGGCTGAGTGAACCTTAATGCCTTCTCTGTCTTTAGGTTCTTGTTTCTTTTATAACCATGTGCATCTTTACTCTAAAGACTCCACACTGGAGCTGGTCTGACTTGGAAGGTCTACTCCTATCAGCCAAAAAACTAGCAGATACTATGTGGTTGGTACATGGGCAATTCTTGGTTACCTAATGACTGATAAAACATAAGTAAAGTGCATCAGAGACCAAGGACATAATTATTCAGGAAACAGGAGTCGATTGAACCGTGACTGACTGTCAATACGTGTCGGCCTTCTGCTAGGTGGGAGGAGAGGAAACAGGACTTGTTCAAGGACACCATGCTCCAAAGCCCCTCACAACCAGTTTCAATCACGGGGGGGGGGTTCCTTCTATTTTACCTTCTTTTCTGAGGAGACCAGCCCCCAGGCTCTGTCCCTCTGTCCTTACCTGAGGATCTGGGAAAGACTCAACTATCTCACTCTTCAGCTGGCACCTAATTTTTGGCCCAGGATGGAGTGGTGAACACATAAAGGTTCTTAAGTTAATCAGAAATCAAACAATCTAAATCCTGAATAATGGAGTGCTAACTATATATTTTTTTAACCGTAAGTTTGGGTTCTCTGTAGACTTTCTTCCTCCCTCATACAGCCCTCCCACCCCACATCTGCCCCCACCTGCATTAATTAATTTATAATTAATTAATGAGGAATGAATTGTAAATGTTAGATATTTTATTTTCATTTCTGTTCACAGATGGTCTTATTATATAACTTTGTCCAGTGCTTCAAGGGCTACTACCAATAACATCTTAGTTCTTTGAATCTTCAGGGCATACTCTAGTCATGAGAACACATATAACGTATAAGAGATGATATTTGGCTTCACTTCATATCAAATATATATGTCAAATTTTTAGACACATTTTAAGCATTCCTACAAGTTAAGAGGACCTGCCTCTTTTGCAAATTACCCATGGAAACCGTTGTTTGGAGGATTCAAGGTAGGGGGCCAAGTCCTACCTTTAAGTCGATGTCAAGGTGGAAGTAAAGGAACTGACACAAACCACAGACCAGATAATAGAGTTCAGCAGATGAGGGAAGCCAGAGTCAGGGATGAGCATAAGATTCAAAGTTCCTCTGAGGATGTGCAGAAGCTCAGGATGGGCACTGAACTTTTCCACAGGTCAGAGAACAAAGTTATCTAGACATCATAGAACAGGCAGAGCCATCAGTTGATACCTGAACTACTGACCTTAAGGCTATAATAAAGAAGACTTAGGAGAAGTTCAACATAAGTTTATTTAGGAGATAAACTTCCATATAACAAAAATGTCAGATTACAGTAAAAACCATGATAATATATCAAATGTAATGCAGCCATTACATAACACAAAAGTGTTATAATGACATGGGACATGTTCATGAACTGTGAAGCAAAGATATATAAAAAGTTACTATGCTTACTGATATCAACTTTGAAAAAGTACCCATAAAAAGCACATTGAATTTAGGGAGGCAAAAATATTTACTGTGATGTTTTATTACAGATTACTATTACCTTCATCTATATAATTATATAATATGTCCACGAATTTATTTTATAATCAGAATATATAGTTTTATATGTTACATAATATTGTGTCATTTCATTCATCAACTTATTAAATCTTCTTACAGTCAATGTCACATTAAATTGGTACATCAGTAAATAATGCTTAAAAATAGCTGATAAAATTGAAGTTGAGGTGAAAAAAAACCCTACAATCTTTTATTTGTAAAATGTGCTCAGCATTCAGCCTTATTGATAATAAAAAACTAGTCTAATACTATGTGATTTTTGAATTAATAGTATGCACAAAACAGGTCTATATTATAGTGATTAATATAATGTCTGGTTATGTTAAGTTTGTCTACTACCTTTCCCTATCTTTGCCTCTCCCCTCCATTTAAAATTTTAAAAAACATTTAAAACTTTAATCATTATTGAGTGTTTAAACTACTGAATGTTTTGTTTTGTTAACTGCAGTAATATGGAAGGTTCTTCTAGAATTGTGGAAACTAATAATGTTGTTAAGACCAAAAATCTAACGTTAGGAGGTTTAGGGTTTTAAGGCTCTTCCTGTGGGAGGAGTCTCCCTTTAACTGTTGTATCAACTTCATCACCAAAATTTCCCATCTCCTGCTCTTTAGAGAGTTCTAAGAACACCTAGGTAGGAGAAAATAAATAAGGAAACAAAAATATCAGGGTGTTTGTTTTATCCGAGAGATGGGTGCACAGAGAAATTCACAGAAAGGTTACCCAGATGGTGCCCACTGGCTTAAAAAAAAAAAAAACTCACCTGTTCCAAGGTAGCCTGAGAGAGGCTGTATTCTTCCAGGTCGAAGGTCTGTTTCACTGCATTTAAAGGGAATAAATAACATTAGTGGCTTACAAATTTTTCAACAAAAGTGTTTTCAAAGCATCAACTTCAAATCCATGAGCTACTTTGAGATATAGGCCAAGTAATTAAATCTTCTTGAAGGATAAACTAAAGAGTGCTGATTGGGCTAATTGAAAGACAGCAATTCATGAATGTAGAAATTACCAGTCAACTTTCTCTTTAAAGAGCTCCTTGTGTGCTATTCTAGGTTTTCACTTTTTGATTCTTTATGTATGTATGTTTTGGACTCAAGACTAACTGTCGAGTATCGCTTTAGCCTACGTCCTATATTTATGAACCTGTGGAGGAATACTCTCGGTGCTAGTCCCCGTTTAGAGAATCCCACATTTCCACATGTCAAGGCCCCGTAGATAGCCAGCATAAGCTCTAGTCAGCGTCTCTAACTAGTTCAGCAGTCCCGCCCTGATCCTGACTTGTCTCATCTCCCCGCTCTGGATTTCCCCTCTGTGACCTGCAGTCACTGGCTCCATAGTCCTGCTCCTCGTGCCTCTGACTCTGATAAATATGAGATGCTAGAAAGTCACTGTGGTGTTCTTTGGGATAACACACTGATCATTATCCTCCACTACCATGCAGTGGAATCGGAACAGTGTTCTGACCTATTTGCCGCTGGGTTTCCTGGTCAGCAGAGGAACAATCGGGGGGAGGAAACCTAGGTCTAGGGCCACTGCTCCATTCCCCTTAGGATTTTTAAGACTATTCCAGTGGAAATTTCCCAAGTTTTGACTGATGATATAACTTTTCTACTTGAAATTATATAGCTTGTATTCCACATGAAAATATGCACAATACATAAAGTTTTAAATATGTCCATACTTACCTGCCTCTAATTTAAAAAAGGCCTGAGACAGAGGGTGAACATCTGCCATGGGTAATTTATATGTCATCATGGAGGAATACCTGGGATGAAGGAAGAGTGAGATTTATAATATTGGGGAGAAACTGATAATCAAAATAACAAAAGAATTTTTCAAAGTGTTATTTAAATATAAGGTAAGTAGTTCAACTTAATAGAGCATCAATCTGAGCCAAATAACTTCTCTTTAAGTCATAAAAATTTGATAACAATAAAAATCTGGTTGTCCCTAATTCAATATTCAAGATAAATTCCGAAAAAATAGTTCTGATAAGAATCTTTCATATTCAGCCTGTACTATCTTTCTTAACTGTGCTCTATTTCCTACTCTCCAAAGCCTTCAACATCCCTCAACATCAACTAGGACATCAAATTTCCCCCTTTGCATTTAATTTTCAATCTCTCTTATAGGAATTAAAACCTGTTGCACTTTGCTATTAAAAAAAAAATTCTTTCTTGGCCTCCAGCTCTGCCCTCCTCAAGTAAGTTCATCCATGACCTCCATGTTACACAATCAATGAACACTCTCTGGTCCTTACTTCTTAGACATCTCCAAAGTATTAAACACAATTGTATACATCCTCCTTAAAAGTCTCTCTCTCTCTCCCCCTCCTCCACCTTCCCTCCCTCCTCTCCATCTCAGCTTGTGAGACAACCACACATTTATGATTTTCCTTCTGACTCTAGTCCTGCTCTATTTAATATATTAGCTACTAGCAGCATGTGACTATTCAAATTAAATTAAATAAGTAAAATTTCAAAATCAATTTTTGATTTTATAGGACTCAGTAGCCACCTGTGGATACTGGCCACTGTATTGGACAGAAGGATACAGATATTCCCATCATCACTGAAATTCTATTGTTCTAGACTGTTCTAGGCACGCTTTAGTATTTGTCATTATGGCTGCTGCTGTGGTGCTGGTAGTTCCCCCACCAGCTTTTCTTCCTCACTCCAATCTTAATACTCTTAATACTAAGAGTTCCTGGGGTCCAATCTTGACCCTCTCCCCTTTCCATCTGCCTTGCTGACCTCACCCATTCTTCTAGCTTAATGGTCTCCCTGGTGGTAGAAATGCTCCACTGTGTTTAGTGCCAGACCAGGTCTCTTGATGACCCTTCGCTCTTCCTCTCAGCAACAGGCCTACGTCTCTGTATTTTGGCATCTCCACTTGGATATCTCTTTACACATCAGCCATGTGAGCTTTCTTCCATCTTTTTTTCATGTATGAAGTTCACTCTGGACTTAAATTCTTTATACATTCTGTTTTCTAAAGAGTGGCTCTTTTGCCCATTCTTGAGGTGGTCAAACCCTGCTTAGTCTTAAAGTCCTACCTTACAGTCATTTCCTTATTTATTCGTTATCTTCATTTGCCTAATACTCTTGCCTCCCAAAGACTGCAAACACCATAACAGACAAATAAACTTTGTCTATTTATGAAGTACTCCAGCACATAGCAGTGGCTCGACATATATTATATTTAAGAATGATTACAGAATTGTACACCTGAAACCTATGTAACTTTACTAAGCATGGTCACCCCAACAAACTTTAATTTAAAAAAAATGATTATAAGTAGTATATAAGAAAGCCCTGTACGTCTTTCACTTCAATTCAACCTCATTTTGTTATTCACATGGGTTTTGTTATCCTTGCTTGGAATTCATAGATGACCACACAGAAATTTTAAAAAGCCATAGGGGGGATCAAATGATGTATAATCAATTAATTTAGCATAGAGTCATTCTTTCTCAAGCATGTGAGTCTATGCTATTGAGCTCTTGATGCAATTTTATATTTGGTAAAATGTTATAGGTTGATATATAATTTTCATTGTCTATTAAAAAACATTAAACTCATGTTAAGTTTGTTTGTACTTTGTTCCTAACCTCTAAGCTATTCCATTACTTAAACACACATGCATACGTATACACACACACACACACACACACACACACACACACTCCCTCTACCTTTTCTGAGGTATGAAATACACACTGAAAATAACTTTTCCATTACTGTCTTTTTTCTATACATTGTAGTGACACCTAAAATCTTGTTTTGTAATAAATAAGCCAGCTCAGCCTTTCTCTTCCTGTCCAGAATCATACAGGACTAAATGATGTGTGCTGGAAAACTCTTAGACTCATCACCCAAATCCAGAAATTTCCTTTACCTCTCCTGCCGAGCAGCCCGTGGAAAAAGCTTCTGAATCTCTGTGTGGAGAGGCTCCGCCTGAGTGGGTTCCTTCATTTTCACTTCTAGCAAATAATCTTTACCAAACTTGCTTTTTAGATGTTGAATGGAACCGATACACCTTGTCCAAGGAAGAGAAGGAAGAGTTGGAAGAAAAACAATACTTGTCTTTTAATTTCTTCCTCAATGGCAAACGCAGAGAAAGGTGTTTGATCATAGACCCAGGAGCCAAAGAGCATCAGCTGTTCACAGTGAACTGAAATTTTCTCTATGAGAACTTGGGGGTCAACTGCTGGTACTGGAAAGGCACCCACCTTAGCCTTCCGGACACCATGATGGCCACACGGTCACACACAGCCTCAGCCTCTGCCATGTAATGGGTGGTCAGGAGGACGCTTCTCCCTGTGTTTTTAACAATGGTCTGAATTGCCTGCCTAAAGATAAATTAAAGCGTTGTTTGCATTTAGAAAGTAATTCGGACAAATAGATCAACAGGAAGAAGTATGAAGCTGAAATAGAAAATTTCGTATTAGGGTATAAAAAATTTTTTTCGCTTTTGAGAGAAAGAATAAAAATTGTTGCAGTATGTAATTACATTACCACATTAATTGACTTCATAGAATAAAAAGTAGAAGACTGGGAAATAGTGAGCACAATAATGTTTGTTTAAAATAAAGTTAAAATATAGAGAAATACCACATTGTAATATTCCTAATAACTGAAAAATAAAGTAGAAAAAGAAGAAAGAGGGAGGAGGAGGAGGAGTAAGAGAAAGAAAATCTAATCAAATACATTCAAGAGTCCATTTGATTCTTAAAATGTCTACTTTTCCTTCCTTGAGGAATTCTGAATACTATACTGAGTCTCACAGAATTAAATAAGAGGATGTGAGCCTCAAAGTGAATGGAGCAAATGTTAAAAATATATTAACTGTAGACTCATACTATTGACTCTGACACTTCATATAACTTTTCTCACCACATCTGCAGCTGCCCCTCGGGGTCCACCCCAGTGGACGGCTCGTCCAGCAGCATCACCGACGGGTTTCCCAGGATGCTCAGCGCGAAGCACAGCTGCAACGAGAGGGACAGCGCGTCTGGCACCGATCTGTGGGCCGCGCAGAGTAACCCCGAGCCCCACCCCTACCTTTCTCTTTATTCCCTCCGATAAGGCCTTCACGGGACGCTTCTGCTCGGCCTGCAGCTTGAGCGCATCCACCAACCTGACAAAAAAACACTGTGGTTCTCCATGAGGAACGTGTCCCTATCTAGAAACAACACAGAAAACCCTAGCACTTCCAATCTGAGAACGGTACATTTAAGGATCATTAACACTGTCACAAATGCTAAATCTTATGATTTGGTTCTTATTCAGATTTTCAATCATTTTATGTGCATGATAATTTAAAGACACTGTTTATGATCTCCTTCCCATGCTTAATGAGGACATCATATATGGGTCCCTTCTGCGAGCTATGAAGTGTGAATGAGGCTTCTCTGTACCTGTTGACACTGAGGGCAGCATCCTCCTTGTCCAGCCCTTTCACGGCCGCATACACCTCCAGGTGCTCTCTCACTGTAAGGCTGGGCCACAGCGCATTCTCCTGAGGACAGTACCCCAACAGCTTGAGGAAGCCATCTTCCTGTTGCCTCAGTGATGCTTCACAGCCTTGTAAAACCACCTACATAGCACAGGAAAAGTCAGATTCACGGTCAGTTTTTGCTCCAATCGCCCTTCTACATCTGAAGGAGATACAAGTGGCCACTAAGCTGCAATGTGTTTTGAGCACTCAGGAGATAGTTTATAATTTCTTTCATCAATTTATTCACTAAAAAAATAAAAAATCTTTCACTGATAGGAATAATGTAAGGTTGCTAGTGATATTTAAAATGGCATTTCCCCCCTGGCAATGAGCTTGGTTCACAGGCTACATACCACTCCTGCAGTTGGCTTTGTGTCTCCGGTTATCATTTTAATAGAAGTGCTTTTACCAGCTCCATTGTGTCCCAGCAGCCCCAAAACTTCACCTGGAAGAAAGATGCACCATCGATCTTTGTACTTTAAAGGTTGACTAACCTAAAATCACTTAGCTCAGTAACAATTTGAAACAAAATAACATTTTCAAAAAGTACCTTTGTAATGTTCTACCATACTACAATGTCAATGGAAAGTCTTTGGGTTTACAGTGGAATAATTTGGTCTCCCTGATCCACGATCGGTTTCCTTGTCATTTGAATTGGGACAGGGTATTGAAGTAGAAAATGTTTCTCTGCTGACAATGTCAAGTATTTTTACAATTACATATTTAACCAAGGTATCTGAAAAGTCTCAAAGGATGGAAAATTACCTCCTGCGTAGTCCAAAACCTAGAGAATTAAAGAACATTCTAATAAAAGACACATTATCCAAACCTTTGTTAACACAGAAGGAAACATTCTGAATGGCTATTTTCTTCCTTCTTTTTAAAAAGCAACTTTTCTTTTTCTCTTCATATTTTTTGTGTAAACAGCTGGCCATTATGACTGGTTTCTGCAAAACATGACAAAGCGTGATTTTTCCTATTAGATTTCAGATATTTTGTGCACTCATGCTTCACCTTTCATTTCCTAGGCTACGAATCTAACTAGATTTTGTGCCAGTTGTAATTCAGCCTCTTTATTCAAATAAAACGTCCAAATACATACATGTTCATAAATAAAAATGACCTTATCAACTACTGATAAAACTAATTCCTCATCAATTACGTTCCCTTCCATTATTATGCTGAGCATCTGTCTTGCCCTTTGCACTGACTTCATTTCCAGTTCATTTCTTATTGTCGTGCAGTGTCAATTCATTTGCTTGTTCTCATATGCTATTTATAGTTACTGAGGTTACAATTTCAGTACAATGCGAAATGAAATTGCAACTCTTGCAAAACATGTGGAATTTTGTTAAAGTTGATAAAAACATCACAGAACTTCTTGAATTGCACTGACGAAGGAAGACCTAAGGATTAAGATCTATGAAAAAGTGAAGAAGAGAAAATTGAAAGAGAGATGCCAGGATAAATATCTCAAAAGACAAAGATGTGACTATGACCTAGCAATGAAAGTATTACAGAAAGAAAAGCCAAGTTTTCGCACTAAAAACCAACAGTTCATCAGCTCGACAAGAGAAGCTAGCTCAGTATTTCATTAAGGGTCTAGTCACTTGTTTTCACCTCATCCACGTTTAAAGCAGTGAGTGCATTTGCCGTTTTCACTCTTTCAACTTGAACATCATCATCTTCTTCTTCTGGCTCTTCTGGATTTGGACGATTTTCCCTACTTCTTGGAGAGATTCTACAGAGAAAATAAAATAACATAAAAATGCAATCCTAGGTCTACAACTACAAAGAGAATGTAAGCCTCAATAATGAAATTAACCTTTGCTTTAAAAAAATATAAAATGATTCATTTATTACCTGCAAGACTGCCCGTGACAACAATAATCCCTCCAGTACCCAAGTCCAAGTCCCCTGAAATTCCTTATGACTACTGCTTCTTTTTAAAACTTTTAATCCCTCTGTCAACTAGCCCTCGAAATTCTCTCACATATAGATGCATCAGTCAGCCTTTTTAATCTGCTGCCCTCCAGCTCACCATCCTATTTCATCATAAATGATTACCATAATTGGTTTCTCTTGCTTTTACAGAACACTTCACACACCTATGCTAAACACCAGTTCATTATTGAGTTTTTCTACTCAAGGACCGATACTTGGCATAAGCAGGTTGAAAACAAGCTTTGGTGCTTACCTACAGCTTACAGAGATGCACAGGACAAAAACCCAGCTTGCCCAACGTGAGTAAGACTCATGACCTAGAAACTATGCATCCCTGCATTCCATCTAATTCTGTATGTTCCTTTTCAGAGTAATGCTGCCCAGTAGGCCTAGCCAAGGTTTGGAGAGCAAATCTGTCCTAATAAACTGATGTTAAATGTACCACCATAAACATTAAATATGTAAATCATATCAGATGTTAATGTTCTTCCAACCTGAAAACTGGATCTTTCCTCATTGTTCCTTTTCCAAACTTGATTTCCAGACATCTTATAACAAAAAGGAAAATGACACTCTGAAGGTATGGCTAAAGGCAAACAAAGATAATTAGAATTAGCATCATCATGGAATTCAAACTCAGTGGGCAATATTTGACTTTTGTCATAAAAGATTTGACCACTTTCTTATAAATTTGACAGAAATCTTATAAAGTACTTCTCACATGAAGAAGTTTACCCAAACCAGCCTGCCCACCATGGGGGGGGGGGAGTCGGGGAATCCAGGATTAAAAATATTTTTAAATTAGAGCACAGAAAACCTGCCAAGATAGTAAGGACTTTAAGCCAAACCTAAGTGAATGTAGGAGAAAAGCTCCTACTAAAGCACCAAAGCAACTCTAAACTTCAATTTTCATGGCACGTCTAGGAGCAGAAGACAGAAGAAAGTATATCGTTTTCTCCAAGCAAGGAATAGACTAGGCCAGCTTTTCCCTAATAAAACATGGACCTCCAAGAGTTATATCCTTAGTGAAGGGTGGAAAGAACACCCAGGAGATTTCTAAGATAGTTGCCTTGGGTGTTGACCACGGGGAGTAAAAGTGGATATAGAAGCCAGCCTTTGCACAGATTTGCAGCTCAAATTCACATCACCTAAATGGTCCAAATAACAGCAAGCCTGGAATGTGGTTTAAAGCAGTGTCAAACTAGCAGTGTCCCTCCGAACTTGGCGGAAGCAAACACAGTAGAACAGATATCCCAGAAACAGACCCTGCCTATATGGTCATCTTATAAATGAACAGAGGCAGNCTTCTCACATGAAGAAGTTTACCCAAACCAGCCTGCCCACCGTGGGGGGGGGGAGAGTCGGGGAATCCAGGATTAAAAATATTTTTTAAATTAGAGCACAGAAAACCTGCCAATATAGTAAGGACTTTAAGCCAAACCTAAGTGAATGTAGGAGAAAAGCTCCTACTAAAGTAGCAAAGCAACTCTAAACTTCAATTTTCACGGCACGTCTAGGAGCAGAAGACAGAAGAAAGTATATCATTTCCTCCAAGCAAGGAATAGACTAGGCCAGCTTTCCTCCTAATAAAACATGGACCTCCGAGAGTTATATCCTTAGTGAAGGGTGGAAAGAACACCCAGGAGATTTCTAAGATAGTTGCCTTGGGTGTTGGCCACGGGGAGTAAAAGTAGATATAGAAGCCAGCCTTTGCACAGATTTGCAGCGCAAATTCACATCACCTAAATGGTCCAAATGACAGCAAGCCTGGAATGTGGTTTAAAGCGGTGTCAAACTAGCACTGTCCCTCCGAACTTGGCGGAAGCAAACACAGTAGAACAGATATCCCAGAAACAGACCCTGCCTATATGGTCATCTTATAAATGAACAGAGGCAGCTCTAAATTTTAATGGGAAAAGCATAGACTTTTCAATAAATAATGCTGGGATAACTGGGTACCTTTAAAGGTTGAAATGAAATAGGACCCTTACCTACCAACACATAAAAAAAATATCATATTTGAATGTAGAATATAGTAAGAGCGGATAATTTTAGGATATTTAAATTTACCATTCTTTGAATAAGATCAAGTATATGACATGGTTATGAATGCTATGCAATATATGGTCAACAAGAAAATTTTGCTTACTATTAAGATTGTTGCGAACATGGTTTTTTGTATACTACTTATTTCATCACTCAGAGTTTCAGGGTTTCTCATATGTAACAAGGACAGCTGAAGAAGAAAAACAAAGGTTAAGTGCAAGTTTCTCTGCTTTATGACTATAAAATTTAAACATTAAATGTGCTTCCACTATACTTGATGCTCCA